GTGGTTAGTCTATCGCACACCCCTTGTTTCGAATGTTTGTACACTCTTCAATCTCATTTCCCTATTGGTTGAAATATACTATTTGAAGGGACACGCGATAGATTTACGAGGAAGTTAAGCCAGGATTAACTGCCACTTAATGGTCAGAATAATTTGGGTTCAGAGATTAATGATGATGATGGTAAGCATGTTAGAGGTACGCTTTATAAGCATATAAGGCAGGTGGTGGTGTATTGGCTAGAACAAACTAACTAGGACTAAACGTCATAATGCATCACGCGATAAGGGGTTTTCACTGAAACTGCATTTTAAATGGCATTTTTGTTTGCTGTCATTCGGTGGTTTTGGGTATATTATGTGCACGGATTTAAAGGTTGAACATTAAGCTTTCGATTTTCAGCATTTATCATGAATGACTACATCGATTAGATTGAGTCACTTCATGAGAGTGATCCTATGTGTTCGAACCCTTCAAACTTGTATGTTAGGCATCTACTTTACCTCTGTACGCTTCGCTCACGTATGTTCGAGTGATTGTGACAATAACATCCATTTCTGAAATGAATCACTCACCTCTTCAGAGTAACATTAATTACTCCTGAACCATGACAAGGAAAACGGTTACCATACGCTTTCAAGCTGATTTATGGTGAAGGTAATGGGATTCTCAAACGTCGGTTGTTCATTACGAACGTCTAGAATGAGTGGGTAACATTTAGTTGATATCTTTTTTCAAATTATGTGCTGAAATTTTCTCAGATATTACTATCTTTTTGCTTTTAATTCTGTGATATATTTTCATTTGCTTGAATTTCAGCCATAGGACGTCCAGTAGTCTACTTCATTGCTGTGATAGATATTCTTACTCGCTATGGAATGCGCAAACGCACTGCCCAAACATACAAGACCGTGAAGCACGGTGGAGCCAATGCTGACCAGATCACCACAGTTCGTCCCGAAGTCTACGGCAAACGTCTCCTTGACTTCCTTCGTAATTGTATTCAGTAGACGACATCGTGAAATTTATTCTCCAGCGAGGTCTTCTATCGTCTATCCGTCTCCTGTTTGATTCTTATTATCAATATCCCCCCTCCTCATTTGTCTTCCCATTTGCATGCTCCATTTTCTTTATCTCCCCACCTTGGAGGTGCACAACTCTGAAAGGCATGATCTTGATTTCTCTATCCACATTTGCTGTGACAAAGCGCCTCGATATGTCCTCTCTCTAGTTAACTCCCTCCCCCTTCTCCCTTCCTTCTATTGGCTATATCTGAATGTGAACTGAGTGCATACTGTCGTTCTTGTACACATTTGTCTGTGCATTTCTTTTCAACTATGCTTCTGTTTTGTGCGTGCGCGCGTGTGTGTGTGTGTGTTTTTGTCTACATGTGAGCTAAGAAAATATTCGCTAGAGCTTACAATTGAAGTGTATTGTGTATTTGAGCAGAATATAATATATATGCTAATAGCATATATGTGCTGTGTTTACCTTTGTCTTTGAATTAGCTTTGTGTTTGGGACGGTCGATATGAATTCTTTACTCTCTCCCTCGAGTATAGGAGGTGTTAATTATGGGTTTATTGAAGGAGTTGGCTATATTTTGGCAGTGTTAGATATGCCTAAAATGAAACTGGCATTAACCTGATAGCCATTTTGTGGGAAACGCTCAAGAAAGCTCAGTTAAATGCCTGAACACTTTGAAAAGTGGCAGTTAAGTCTAAATTCTCGCTCAATGGGATTGACTATTCTAAATTCTCAAAGCGCTATAAATTTCATTTGGTTGCCTAAATCTTTTACCGAGTGGACAAGTTAAGAGAGATCCGCCTTATGCCTACAGAGAAGTAAACTAATCTTATACTTTTATTTGCAAGTAGAAAATGCAAGGTATTACGAATAACGACATTATGGGGTACACACCAATTGTTGAAAGTGTCCAATATTAACTACGCTACACAATTCATCACGTGTCTTTTATCTTCAATCCGATAATTGAATAATCCGGTTAATTCAATTCGTGGCATTTTCGAGTCTCATAAACATCAATTAAATCCTCTGCGCACACGGATAAAATTTTTGGTGTCAATCAGAAATATAAGAGTGAAACGCTCGAATTATAGATATCTGTTATGAAACGAGTTAAAAATTATTTGATAAATATCAATTTCATTACCTTCCTTCCTGTCTTTAAAAGATTATGAGGTGGAAGATGAAAGAAAAGTGTTTGAACCCATTTTCTAGCTAGCTTTCAAGAACCACGTGATCAAAAGTTATCTCATTCTTTTCCAGACTAACCTCAACTAAAGTGGTCTGCACAAGAGTTCATTGTAAAGATCGCACGATTGCATTACTTGAATCAGCATTTCAGATATCATTATATTACCACAGCTACTAACTCAGAATTCTATATCATTGTGAATTCTCTTTCGTTTTTCCCAAACACCCACTCTCTTAGAGTAGTACCCTTTTAATTTTATTACTAAATCTTCAAATTATTGAAATTGCTGCAATATCTAGTTGGTTTTTCAAATCCATACCTAAGGACCACCAATTGAGCCTAAACCAAACGTAAACAATCCACTCGGGCAAATTCCTACGTCATAAAATTGCTACCCAATGATGTCGGAGAAACGTTGAATTAATATTAGCCTCTGATTGGTGGATAATATTCTGCTAGCTCCATCGTTCCGAACAATTTATTTTATTTATTTATATCAAATGGCAGGCGTTTTG